GTATTAAATGAAACCGATTTGTATTAGAAGTAGTATCTAAAATAATCACATCAGAATACAGCAAATACAAATTTACCTGCGAAGATGACATCCACATAATTGAAATTAAACGTTTTGAAATGCTTTCGATACGAGGTTTAATAATCCATCTCAGATTATTATCTTTCCATTGCAATAATAATTGCAACATTTGTAATGCATCCAATTCTCCAAGGCTATTTTGTTGATAAAATTTATATACAGCATTATATAAATCTTGCTTGTTAATTGTATGATCAGGATAATTATGGATAAGTAAAGGATAAATTGAAGATGAATCTATTCGAGCTGTAACTACATATTTCTTAATATCAGCAAGTATTTCAGAAGTGAATTTACGAAATTGAGGTGCCATTTCTTTAATCATAGGATTCATAGGATGATTATGTGTGTTATAAAATGAGGTAACTTTAATAACACTACTAGATTTGGGGAATGTCAAATTCACATGCCAAGAACACCCGGTTCTTTGTGAAGAAGTGTTACGTCATTTATTAGGATCTACAGTAATTTGTGCATCATTTTAACCAGATTTAGTACATTCATAGGTAAGTCGTCTAATAATGCTATTATCGTATTCGCTTCTTCTGATCTTAAAACTGAATCCTTGTTGAAGACCAAACATTTCAAACCATTTTTTAACCTGCACCCAAGTTTTGAATGATAATCTAACATGTAGTATTTGTGTATTTTCATTATCTTGTTCAAGATCATTTTTTTGATCTAAAAACTGGTCGTTTTAAAAATTAATCTTCTGAACTGATAGTATGTTATTTTCATTATCTTGATCTAAAAACAGGTCGTTTTAAAAATTAATCTCCTGAACCGATAGTATGTTACTTTCATTATCTTGATCTAAAAACATATCGTTTTGAAAATTAATCTCCTGAACCGATGGTATGTTACTTTCATTATCTTGATATAAAAACAGGTCGTTTTAAAAATTAATCTCCTGAACCGATAGTATGTTATTTTCATTATCTTGATATAAAAACAGGTTGTTTTGAAAATTAATCTCCTGAACCAATGGTATATTACATTCATTATCTTGTTGTTCAAAATCATTTTCTTGATCTAAAAACAAGTCGTTTTGAAAATTAGTCTTCTGAACCGATAGTGTATTACTTTGTTCTTGACCCGATATTATATTATTTTGCGTATTAATATAGTTGGTGCTCATTATACTAAAATTAAAAGACGTTTTTTAATAAAAATAAAAAACAAGAACAGAAACAGAAGAAAAAGTTCCTATTTCTATGATTTCGAAAGTTAAATCATATGAAACAAATAACTATAATGATTTATATATAAGCTACAATATACTCGTACAAAGCCATATAATATTGTACATACCAGATACCGTAATATGATACGTGTAATAATCTTGCTACAGAGACAGTTCTAGAATATAAATCGATTTTAATTTATGCATTAACCGCTTAGAAGTTATTTAATAATTATTTAAGATCATGTGCGTTAAAACAAAACATTTTCAAACCTAAAGTTGGTTTAAGGCCGATAAAGTTTTAGGATCTTGTATAACGTAAATAACGTAATAGCAAAACCCAGATTGTCGTATAGTATAAACTAATGTACCCCACACTACAAATAAAAATCTAGAAGGTAGTTAGCGCAAGTTTCATATGTTAAAATTACTGTTAATTTATTTGGATCATTTATATTATGTTGATCTCCTAATTAGCATTTGGTGTAACCAGATATAAACCCTCCGGGTAAATTTAGTTATTTTCTAATATTAATATATTATCAAATTAAATTTTTTAAAACAATAAATTTATTAAAAGAATTTACTTTTCAATTGCATTCA